TGATAGTGTTGGCTATCGGAGAGGCTGAGGCAGGAAGGCCATTTGAGCCCATAAGCTGGAGCCCAGCCTTGGCGACATACAATGCCCACCTCATAAAACCAAAAAAGAACTCAGCTACCTCCTTGTTTGAGGACATATTTCCTCCCTTAGCCTCAGTTTCCTGGTTGTACACTTGATCTTAGCCAAAAGGCTGAGAAGCGATTCCCTCGTAAAATGGAAATCATAATACCTTTGAGCATTAAGGGTGATGCCTGTGTCTTGCCTGGTGTAACAAGAACTCAACAAATCATGCCTACTCCTCAGCATTAAATAAATGGCCAAATCATGGCTTGGCAGGATCTTTGTTGTCCTTTGATGACACAGTTGAAAGAAAGAATTAAATTCAGGTGTTAACCAAGGTACTAAATGTTGGATACTTAACATGAGGAGGAAACTAGCTTTTGCTCAGAGTGTCTACCTCTGAAATAATCATGAGAAACATGGTATGGAAGGGGGTAAAATTCAAGAAATGCTCGAGGATCATGATGCCTTTGCCAAGAATTGAAAATCTGAGTCTCTGAGCCAAAGGGAACATGTCAGCGCAGATAAATATTGCTCTGTGGAAACAGAAATCAACTCTAATGTTGGGCGTGGTGGCACACACTTCTAATCCCAGCACTCAGGAGGCTGAGGCAGGAAGATTGCCAAGAGTTTAAGGCCAGCCTAGGCTACATAGCAAGATCTTGTCTCAAAACACCAAAACAGGGCCAGGGATTTAGCTCAGTGGCACAAGCACCTGCCTGGCAAGCGCAAGATCATGAGTTCCATCCCTGGTACCAAAACAAAACAAATCAGCTGTAAGACATTGACAGGTTTCATTAGTTCTCTGTGTTTGCAGCCCAGGTGATGCGAAGCTCACTGCCTGTTCAGACTGTTTGTCGGAACCCCCACCCCCGTGTTTCCCAGCTTGTTTTCTACTATTTACCAGCTGGAAAAAAGAATTTATTTATTTTTTTTGAGACAGGGTCTCTCTATGCAGTTTAGGCCAGCCTTGAGCTCACTTTGTAGCCTAGGCTGGTCTCGAACTCACAACAATCCTCCTACCTCAGCCTCCCGAGTGCTGGGATTACAGGCATGAGCCACCATGCCTGGCTGGAAAATAGAATTTTCTAACAATTTTGTCCTCTAATTGAGATCAGATCCCAAGGGTACAGGTACTGTATGATCTGAGGAATGTGTAAGTAGGTCTTGGGCACCCTCGTCAGCAGAGGTGGGGCCAAATCCCTTGCAGAGTGACTCTGAGAATCACACCTATGTCAGCATGAGTTCTGTGACTTACCTGTGTCCTTGTGAAAGTCACGTCTGAACTTTGATTTTCTTGTATGTGAAATGGGATTGATTATATCTTACTCACATGAAGATTCGATAAAACTCAACCTTAAAAGCACTTGGTCCTGGGTACTTCGCATAGTGAACATCTGTATGTTTTTTGTCGATATCAGGGATTGAACTCACTGAGCTAAATCCCCAACCCGTGAGCACCTGTTTAAGAGAATGTCCATGGGAGGGGACATTCTCAGGCATGGCCTTTGAGTCATTCAGGGAAAGAATGACTCTGGAACCTGGGGACATCTGGTGCTATAGTTGAGTGTGGCCCCCAAAAGTTTATGTGTTGGAAACATAATCCCCATTCATATGTTAATGGCATTTGGAGTTGAGGACTTCAAGAGCTAATTAGGATTCCATGAGGTCCTAAGGCTGCCAGTGATGGCATTAGCGGCTTTATCAGAAGAGGAAGACAGGCTCGACTAGCGCTCTTGCTGTCTCAACATGGGATGCCCTCTGCCATGCCAGGAGGCAACAGAAAGACACTCAACAAATGTCAGGGCCAGATTCCCCAACTTCTCGTCCTCCAGAACCATCAGCTACATAAACTCCTATTTGTTAGGTCTGAGAGAAGGGGGAGGCGAGGAGAAGTCCGCGGGAGGAATGGAGCGGAGTGGACGGCCGTAAAAGTAGTGGTCAGCGGTGGCTTTATTCCGGGAATGCGGGGAGGGGGCCCCCGTCGCCGGCCCCGGGCATCTCTGTACCCGGGGCCGGTGGTGTCTCCGGGAACACGGGGAGTGGAGACTGGCGCGCTGGAGTCTGGCGAGCTCTCTCTCTCTGGCGAACTCTCTCTGGCAAACTCCCTCTGGCGAACTCCCTCGGACACGTGGCGTGGGGGATCTAAATAGCTTAAGCTTAGGGCAGTGCCCCAAAGGCCATTAGGGATGTACAGATATCTCATTGGCGCACAGGTCCTTAAGGATGGGGATATAGAATTACAATCAAGTCCATAGGGGGCAGGGTGGGGGAGGAGTTTAGCTGCAGCCTTTTCTGGTTACAGTGTTTCATCTGGGCCGGCAACTCTTTCACTATTCTTTATAAATTATCTGGCCTGAATTTTATTCGCAAAGGAAGTGGACTAAGACATCTCAGTTGACAATGCGCTTCCCTAGCCTGGGCCATTTTGTTAGAGGGTTTTGCCCAGAGAGTCAGTACCTAGAAAGGGAAGCTCCTATCAGAGACGCTAGGAGTTGGGAGCTAGGAGCTGGGAGCTGTGTGTTTCTAGAATTCAGTGTCCTAACCTTGTGAAAACTGGAATGAGCTAAACTTACTTTTTCTCTCAGGGCTAGGGATTAAATCCAGTACCTAGTCCCCCTCCCTGCTTTTAAAAGGATGTTACTAAGTTGCTAAGGCTGGCCTTGAACTCACAATCTTCTTGCCTCCGCCTCCTGCCTAGCTGGGGCTACAGGACTTTGTCAACACGCCCAGTTGGTGCCAGGTAAAACTTGGACACATTCATATTCACTCACTCATTTGATTTTTGCTGTGAAGTGAATAAGAACAATTGCTATTCAGCAAGTGGACCTTGGAGTGTGGAGAGGAATAATATTTTGGTTTGAAAGGTGAGCTACTGAGAAAAATCTATGGCCTCCCCTCCACCATTTTGACTCTGCCTGGGCCAAGGCATAACTACTCTGTGCCTCAGAGCCCCAGTTTCTTTCTTTTTTTTGTTTTGAGACAGAGTCTCACTGTGTAGTTCAGGCCGGCCTTGAACTCACTATGTAGCCCAGGCTGGCCTCAAACTTGTGGCAATCCTCTTGCCTCCGCCTCCCAAATGCTGAGATTACGGGTGTATATCACCATGCTCAGCCAGAGCCCCAGTTTCTCTTCATCTTCCTCCCCGCTGCCTTTCCAGGCTCTGGTTCTCTGCTTCCCCAGCTCCCTGCATTCTCTTCTGCTCATTTGATCAACAGACACTGGTTGAGCACCAAGGTACCGTGTGACAAGTGTGGGACCATGAGTGTGAACAAAGCACAACCCACACACTTCAGGGTCAGTTGTGGAGAAGGGGAAACATCCTCTGCTGTTTCCAAACCAGAGTGGTGTCAGAGATGGAATACATCACCAAGCACCCCAGGGCTCTCAGCTGGTTGTTTTTTTTTTTTTATCGGTACCAGGGATCGAACTCTCGACTGCGCGTTTGCAAGGCAGGCACTTATGCTGCTGAGCTAAATCCCCAGCCCCTCAGCTGGCTTTTTGGAGGTGTCATTTGAATTTTTTTAGGTTAGGTGCATAGGCAGAAGAAGCCAGTGGATGCAGGAGCATGGCAAGATCAGGGCTTGCGACAGGTTATAAGTGGATGCTGGGGGCCAGAGATCAGGCTGGGACACCATAGCTCTGTTTCGAGAACCATGTGGGGTCCCTTCAGGGCAGACTCTGGATCAGGTTTGTGATCCTAAGTGGAAACTGTTGGGGCTGGAGGAAAAGAACCAAAACCTGAGGTGGGCCGGGAGGCTGGCGAGGTCCCACCTGTACAGGAGACAGAGCTGATGGAGTGGACACAAACTGCATGTGGGAAAGGAGGGGGACAGGATCCCAGCTGGGGTGACAGGGCTCAGGGTGGACAAGCTCAGGAGGTGGCGAGGACAGGAAATGTGGGTTTTACTCTACACACATGACATGGCTCAAGGGCTCAGTGCCATGTGGCACTGGGTGCTGAGGAGGGCTCCTCAGTCCATGGGCTGCTGGGCCGCCCTCCTACACTGCTAGGCCAGCTCCAGAGCTGAGCAGCTGTCACTCTCCCTCCATGGTAGCTGGATGTTTCACCCCTAAAGCCCTGGCTTTTGCATCTGTAAAGTAGTGAAACTAAAAAGCAACAAGCAAAGGCCCTGGTCCCCAAGGTCTCAGCTCTCAACAGTCTGGAGGTGTCATCTGTCTCCTATGTAGGTGTCCCCGCCTCTGCTGTTTCCTAAGCGCTCCCCTCCTTTTTTCACTTTCACCCCTGAACCAGCACTTCTCAAACTTTAATATTCATACAAATCACACTCAGCTCTTAGTAAAACATAGGTTCAGCCAGAGCCCTGGATTCAGGGCGTGCGCCACCACTCCGGGCTCCCAACTTCATTTTGTACAAACTTGGCTCTGAGGTCACAGCTACTGCACCGCCTTCCCCTGAGCATGCCCGGCCTGCTCTCCCCTCGGAGCCTTTGTCCTAACTGTGCCCTCTGCTGCCCACTCTCAGCTGGCCCCTTCTCACTATTCAGATTTCAGCTTCTGGGTCACCTCCCAGAGTGGCCTGCCCTGACCCAGTCTCTCACCCCAGTTTAACTCACTGCAGCTCTTATCAGGAGCAAACCTGGGTTTGTTAATTGTCCATCTCCCCTGCTGGGCAGTAAGACCATGACCTTGTGCTCTCCCTGGTTCACCTTGCTCTCCAGCTTGTTCTTTACATGGAGCAGGGCCAGGACAGGTGCTCAGAAAATATTTCCTGCTTGAGAAAATGCCATCCCCCACTCTGTGCCTGTTTCTCCACGTATAAAATGGAGATAATAGCATAGGACCATCTACCCCACAGGGTAAGATGAAATGAGATAGGGCTGGGGGTGGCGCTCAGAGGTACAGTGCCTGCCTACCATGTGCAGGATCATAGGTTTGATCCCTAGTTTCTCATAACAAAATGAAACAAAAAACACACAAAACATTAAAACATATACATGTAACATCACTCACAGTGCTTGGCATTCTGTTTCCAGTGGCAACATTATCAAGACCACAATGGGCCCCCTGACAGCAGTTTGGGGCAAGGCCCAAGGGTTTCCCGCACATTCCTCCAGTGAACCAATGCCAAGAAGCTGGGCTGATTGGCCCTGGCCCATCTTGTTGCTGCTAACGACCTTGACACCCAGTAGCAGACAGAGGGCAAAGTCAAGGATGTAAAAGGGGAAGATTGTGTGCTTCAACTCACTTGTAAGTTTATTAGAAAGGCCATGGACAGATGAACCCTGAGTTACCAGCTGAGGAAGAAATGGAAAAAGCTGCTGACCTTGCGGCCAGCCCTCTGATCTCCAGTGAATCCTGTCTGGTGGCAGACCCCACAGAAGCCCACCAGAAAGTGCTCTCCACATCCTCTCCTGGGGCTGCCAACCTGACTGCAGGGCCTGGCAGGGGAGCCAGGTGGATGCTGGTGGCTGGAGCCAGGACCTAGGAGCCAGCAGCGCGGGCTCCTCTGCTCTAGCAGAAGTGGTTCTAGTCCCCCGACAAAACAGACGGAAGAGTCTCTGGGTGGGGATTCGGAGAGCTCTGCCAAACAGCCAGTAGCTCTGAGAGGCAGTGCTGGGCTGTCTTGCCGGTATGTGCAGATGGCTCTGGATGGCCAATCATGGGGTCCCCATGACAGGACCCCAAAGCTGCTCCAAGAAGTCTTAGCCACAGAGCCGCAGTGTGACTCTGCCCCTTCTAGGGCTGCACTAGCTATTTCCACTCCCAGAAAGGCAAATGGATCTTGTAAAAATCCATGGTGGTTGATGTCATTTTTTTTCCCTTAAAAAGATAAAAGTTTGTATGGTGAATCAATTTCAACCAGCTGAGCCTGAGCCAAGAAGAGTCCATCCTGGGGAAGGAGAAGGCACTTCTCACACCCTCATGGGGTATCTGGGATGGCTGCTTCCAGGGCCTCTTGGGGCTCCAGTATGCTCTGGCCCTGTAACTCAGGCCTGCTCCCTCTGGGAAGGATGCTGCCTCCATCAAGCACCGCCCTGTGGTCTGGATGCCCCAGCCCCTCACAGGGTGGTGGACGGCAGCTTCCTCACTCGCCGCTGGGCCAGGATGGAGGTCTCGATCGGCTTTAGCTGGGGTGTGGGCTTGGAGCTGTTCAGTGCGGAGTACGTGGCTGCCATGGCTCCCTGGGCAGGGGTCAAATCACAAGGGTGGGAAGTGAGTGGAGAGGGCACACATGCCTGAGGACCAGGACAGCGCCCCCTAGTGTTCCACAGCCCACACAGCCCACCTATCCGGGATCAGCAGGGGCTGGTCTTGTCTCTCCCATCAGACTGGAAGATGGAAGAGGTTTCAGAGGTTAGGAGCTATGTCTCCTAGAGAACCAGAGCCAATGACAGCACTGTGACACTACTGTGTGACGGCTTGGGGGCTCCCTGAAAACTCAGTTATGTCTTCCGTCCTCTGCCCCACCTCCTGGTCACTAGCACAGATGTGGGGCTAGTGACCTGGCTCTGCCACCCCAGATCCCCATCCAGACCACTTGGGACTGGGCCCACCTGGCCCCTGACACTCAGCAGGCTGGGTGGCCATACCTTCACCAGCTGCAAGTCCTGATGGGACAGCTGGCTCTGGGGAAGCTTATCTTTCTGGGTGATCCATGGGTGCTGGAGAACCTGCTTGGCTGTAAGACGTTGGTGGGGGTCCACGTGCAGCATCTTGGATACCAAGTCCTGGGGACACAGTGGGCAAAAGGGGTGATAGCAGACAGCTCTGTCCCACTGGTGGGGAACCAAAGGCAACCAGGCTTGGCCATCTCTGGCCTGAACCCTTTGATCCATTCTCTGCACAGGCAAGCCCTCCCCAGAGCAAGGCCTTCCGCTCTGTGGGCTTGGCTGCTCGAGGCGCTCCAGTAGACTCCTTCCCTTCCGCCTTCTCCTTTGGAAAGCCATGTGAGAAGGTGGGAAGAGCTTCAGGGCTGGGGTCACACAGTCTCAGGTTCAAACTTGACTTTTTCTTTCATCACCTGAGTGCCCAGAGCAAGTCACTTCAACTCTCTGGGTCTCGGTTCCTACTCTGAGACACAGGGATAACACCTGCTCTTCATAAAGGGCTCAACCTGTGCTGGGTACAGAACTCTAGAAACTCTTGCCAATGTTGAAAGCTTGGCTGTGACCTCCTTGGAAAGGCCCTCTGCACGGCATGGGGAGTTGTTCTGCGCCTCCACTCTCTGTACTCCTGGCTGGGGGGACCTGTCACTGTGTGCAACCTGTGTCTCCCACTGTGCTGTTTCTACAAGGGAAAGGATTATGCAGCCCTCTGCCCCGAGGGCCAAGAACTGGGAAGGGCCCATTACTCAAAGAAACAGCAGGTGGTCTGCCAGGGAACCTCTTACTCAGAGAATTACAGGAATAGGGATCTGTGAACATTCTACAGGCTGCAAAAAGCCTGTTCCCGACCTGCCACAGGGCCCTGGCTGAGTTACTTCCTCCCCTCCCCAGGCCTCACAGACGCACCTTGGCTGTCTCTGAAACTGTGTTCCAGTTTCCTCCGCTGAGGGTAAACTTTCCACTGCCGATCCGGGTCAGGATCTCCTCGGGTGTGTCGCTGGGTCCATTGGCAAATGGAGTATATCTGGAGATAAACCCACACAGCCTGGGTGGGTACAGCCTCGGTCTCCATCCTGGGGCCAGGGTGGGGCAGGAGGCCCTGTCTCCCCCTCTGACCTCATGCTCCTAAAGCTACTAAAGCCAGGGCCAAACTCCGAGGCAGGGCTGAGTCTCTCCTATGAGCCAAGCACCACCGTGCCGGAACCACAGGCCGAGGCACTCACCCAGCCAGCATGGTGTACAGCAGGATGCCCAGGCTCCAGATGTCACAGCCTTCGTCATAGCCTTGGCGCTTCAGCACCTGGCAGGAAGGCAAGGAAGGGTGATCGGTCAAAAGGTCAGCGGCCACATTTTCCCAAAAAGGGGAGGACAAGGCTCCCAGCCGTGGGCTAGATCAGCCCTTGGTACCTAGGTCAAGGTAATGGACATGCGGTACTGGATAGTGTGGGGCCCTGGGAGCAGACACAAGCCGTCCTACTGTCCCCACTCACCTCGGGTGCCACGAAGTTGGCTGTGTAGCAAGGCGTCATGAGGAGCCCGTTTTCAGCCCGAAGCTGCTTGGCGAAACCAAAGTCACAGATGCGCAGGCACTCGGGATTCCCAGACTCATCCACAAAGAGGATGTTGCTGGGCTTGAGGTCCCTGTGTACAACCTACGGGCAGAGGGCTGGGGTCAGAGGCAGCGTGGGGAGGCTGCCACCAGCCTGACTGCAGGAATGAGAGTGTGAGAAAGCGGGCCCAGAGATGGGGAGGACTGGGAATTCGGGGAGGGGAAGGGGCTAATGTGGACCTGCTGCTGGTCTCTGGCCTTTCTGAAATCTGAGCAGACATCTAAGTGGCTCTGAAGGGGCTGGGGATATAGCTTGGTGGCATAAGTGCCTGCCTGGTAAGTGCAAGGTCCTGAGTTCGATTCCCAGCACCTAAAGCAAATGTAAAAATACTAAGTGGCTCTAATTTAACCCACTTAACACTGAACTCCCTTCAGATCTACACGTTACCTAGTGACAACGCCATCTCTGTTGAGTGCAACTCCTCCCTCATTCCTCAACCCATCCGTTGGCAAACTCTGTACCCTCTACCATTTAAAATATGCCCAATGCCCAACCGTTTTTCACTCCCTCCACTGGCAGCGTGCTGACCTCCAACCTGGATGGGACACTGGTCTCCCTGCTGCTACGCTGACCTCCAGGTTGTTTGGACACAGACACCACAGTACTCTTGTTATGCTACGTCAGATTGTGTCTCCTGGCTTGAAACCCTGTAAGGCCTTCCTTCTGAAGAGGAAAAGTCCTTCCCATGGCCCCAGGCCCCAGCTGCTCTCTCTCCTGCCCCCATCCAAGTCTCTTGCAGTCTCTGGCCCTTTAGTGCTCTTTGCCTTGCTCCCACTGGCTTCAGCCACATTGCTGGTGTTGTTCCTCCCTCAATGTGCCAAGCACATACCTGCCTCAGGACCTTTGTACCTGCAGTTTCCTCTTTTTGAAACACTCCTCCCTTGTACACCTACCTGGCTCATTTTTTTCTTTCAAGTGTCAGCTCAAATATCACCTTATCAGAGGGGCCTTCCCTGATTATCCCACAGAAAAACAGCTATCACCCTCAGTGATGTTTAGCTTTTTTATTTACCACCACTGGACAGAATACTTAATTTGTTTTCTGAACCTGCCCCCTGGAGTATAAGTGCCATGCTTACTGCTGTATCCCAGTACTTGGCATGGTCCTGGATACACAGCAGGGCTTCCATGAGTATCTACTGAATGAATGAATGAACAATGCTTACTACTGAGGTTATACACAAAATGCTTTCCTCTGCATGCTGCTTGCTCATCTGTAATGGAGGACATGAGCTATTCCATTTGTCCTGCTTCCCCTCTCCCTTGTTATGGTTCTCCTCATGGTCAACTCTCTGTCACTTCATTACTGCTCTGGTCTCTAAGCCTGATTCAGAACTTTTCTGAGTCCAGGCTCCTATATCCAGCTGCCTACCACATGGCAACTGCTGACTCTTCCAACCTGCCAACGTAATCCACATAACTCAAGTTCTCACCCTCCTGCTCCTCTTCCTATGAGGGAACCCATTAGCTCCTGGGGCATTGTCAAAAATCTTCAATGGCTCCCTAGTACCTACAAGACACAGCCCAAAATTCCTAGCTTGGCCTGGAGGGTTCAGCCATCACACACTGCATCCTCTCAGTTACCTGAGTCCAGACCACAGGAGGCTCCTGCAGAAATAACCACAACCATATCTGTCTGGGGGCACCTGTCCACCTCCAGTGCCCAGCACAGGGCCCAGCACAGAGCAGATACACTGAATGAATAAGCCACACCTCCACCATGCAAACACACTACGCAAACACACTACTTTGGCGAGGCAGAGACAACCCCCTGGGGAAACAGGTATAGAAGTTTGTGATCTTATCCTGCCCTGACACAGCACAGAGAAAGGACAAACCCTGATGGAGCTGAATCTCACTGTGGCCGGTACCAGTAGAGGGGTGCGGGAAGGAGAGGCAGGGTGTAGGGAAGCCCCGCAAGTGATTCTGCTTCCTGCTCCCCAGGTGTAGCAGGGAGGTGGGGTGCATCCTCACACCTCACTGCACCAAAAATCTCAGCATGCTGAGCAGGATTTATAGCCACCCATCTAAAGGTGGCTACTGTTTCTCAGTGCTGATGGTCACCATGTTGCAGCTTGGGCCCACTTTTTAAAAAATAGCCCAATTACCAAAGCTTATCAAACCAGACCCCAAACAAAAAAGCACACCCACCTTTCACATGCCAATCAAAATATCTGTGTGGGTCAGACATAGTTGTGGAGTCACAGTCACGGTTGTGACCTCTGGTAGAGCTGTGATGCTGGGTGGACCAGCGTGGGAATCCTGGCTTTCCCCTGTGTGGTCAACTTTTCTAGCTCTCTATTTTCTCAGCTCTAAAATCGGGCTGATAACAGTGCTCAACCCCCAGGGCTTAGGGAGGAGTAGGAAGAGTCAGCACAGAGCTTGGGGAACGGGGCTGTCATCACAGTAACCCCAGAATTGTCGGGGCTGACACTCAAGTATTGCTGGATGTTAAGATACTGTGGCTATTTGTGACAAAAGATTTAAAAACAAGAGGACAGGGCCGGTAATGCAACCAGTGGTACAGCATTGCTTAACAACCACAGGGCCCTGGGCTCCGTCCCAGGCCCATGTCTAAAGCAGCACTGGCCTGAGTACACAGGTCAAGAGTCTAGATTTTGGAGCAAACCGCTGATTCTAAGCTCTCCAAGCATCAAGCCTCTTACTTGCCAAACAGAGATTTCATGATAACACCCAAGTTCCTTGGAACAATTAAGAGAGTTAATATGCACAGTGCTCCAAGCCCTCTCCAGCCTATAGAAAGTGACAGAGTGCATCACAATTATCAGCTTTGGAGAATGTGTGCTTGGATACCAGTGACCAGCCCGAAAGAGGGCAAGCTTCTTTGTGTGAATCTTTGGGTTAAAGACAGGAGTCAGAGGGGCTGGGGATTTAGCTCAGCGGTATAAGCACCTGCCTTGCAAGCAGGTACCAATTGATCCCCGGTACCAATAAAAAAGAAAAAAGACAGGAGTCAGAGCACGGGGTTGGCTCTCTGCTGAGTCTGCATGGCATAGGATGTTGCTAAGCAGGCGCTTATGGGGGGCTATGGGAACCTTACAGAAACAAACGGGTAGAAGGCAGGGACCTTGAAAAGGCTTCATGTGTTAAATAAAGAACTGCTCTGAAGTAACATGAAAGGGGAGGACAACACAAATTTTGAACAAAAGCCTTGAACAGGCATTTCATACCAGGGGCTGCTCAGAATTGGGGATATGGCTCAGTGATAAGAGTATGTTTGCTAGCTCAAGGCCTTGGGATTAGTCCTCAGTAGCAAAAAAGAAAAAAAGGTTCCCGATGTCATTAGCCATCAGGGAAGTGTAAATTAAAGCCACAGTGAGGTGCCACCCACATATACCAGAATGGCTATGATTTTCTTTGAGACAGGGCCTTGCTGTGTAGTTCAGGCTGGCTTAAACTCACTGTGTAGCCCAGGCTAGCCTCAAACTCACAGAGCTCTTCCATCTTTTTCTCTCTGTCTTTTTGTTCCAGGGATTGAATTCACAATCTTACACTTGAAGGGTAAGTGCTGTGCCACTGAGCAAATATCCCTGGCCCTGCACATCTCTTTTTTTTCTTTGTTTCTGGTACCGGGGATTGAACTCATGACTCCGTGCTTGCAAGGCAGGCACTTACGCTGCTGAGCTAAATCCCCAGTTTTTTTTTTTTTTTTTTTTTTTTTTCTGAGAGATGGTCTTGCTATGTAGTCTAGGCTGGCCTTGAATTTATAGTGATCTTCCTGCCTCAGCCTCCCAAGGGTTGAGATTATAGGTATGCAACATCATGTCTGGTCACATCTCTGCACTTATGTGATACTTTCAATAAAAAGAGATTAAAACAACTAGGAACCAGGTGTGGTGATGCATATCTATAACTTTTAGCAAATGGGAGGCTGAGGCAGGAGGATTACTGTGAATTTAGACCAGCCTGGGCTACACAGCAAGAACTTGTCTCAAAAAACCAACCAACTAAACAATGAGGGTTACACTGGTTCTGGCTCTCTAGTCACCCATTCCCATCTCAGCTTCTGTTGGATTGATTCCTGGCTCACTAGCCCACAGCTATCATCAATGTCAAATTCAGAGAATCCCCTCCAAATAACTAAAAAAGAAGTCCTTCCCATTTCCTCAGCAGCTGCCCCTGGAATGTGGCAAGGGAATGAAACACTGGAGACTCACAAATTCCTGGCTTTGGGAGAGACAATTTCCTCCCAATGGCTGTGCGTACTTGGAGCATGTACGCCCTCTAGCAGGGGACCACTGGCCCTGCAGGCGGCTGCCAATCTAGAATGCTCAGCCTTGCTGAGCTGCAGGCCTAGCAATTCAGTGCCTCTGCTGTTTTGTAACTTTTTTCCCTTTTGTTGCTGCTACTCTCTTCCTTTCTGTTTATTTTTTATGCAGTGCCAGGTATGGAGCCCAGGGCCTTGCACGTGCTAGGCAAGCACCCTACCACTAAGCCACATCTCTTGGGGGTAACTTTAGTGCTCATTTAAGAACAAAACAGGAAAAGGGAACACACTTACTCTCTGATCAGACATGTTTTAGTATTAGCCTGTTTGCACTGGCTACTTCAGACACCAAAACCACTTCAAACGTGACCATTAAAAACATATGTGGTCACCACGCTGAAGCTTTGGTTAGGAGGTGAAGTTCTGTTTTCTAAAAGATATGCCTTTAGGGCTGGGGGTTTAGCTCAGTGGCATAAGCACCTGCCTTGCAAGCAGGTGGTCATGAATTCGATCCCCGGTACTAATAAAAAAATGAAAAAGACAAAAAAAAATTTAAAAAAGACATGCCTTTAATAGATAGATGTAATCAGACGATCCTCAAATAAGTGATCCAGGCAAAGATCCCGAAGGATGAAACCATTAGATGAGGGTCTCCATCTCTTGAGGAGACGGGACTAGAATCTCTCATGTGGCTAATGGGGGGATATGAGGTTGGCTGCCCACAGACTTGATGCAGAGGAAGGTGCACTGTACCTCACGCCAAGCAGATCAATGGCTCTGGCCTCCTTTCCTTCCCCATATCCTGTATCATTGTTCTGTAGGAAAATGCCCAGCATAGAGTACAACTGGAAATACTGTATTTGTGCAAATGAGGAGCTAGTGCTTGAGTAAAACAGGAAGACATGATTCTTTATTTAAAACATAATATTTTGGAGTCAGGGATAATGGTGCACACCTGCAATCCCAGCATTTGAGAGGCTGAGACAGGAGAATCACTGTGAGTTTGAGGCCAGCCTAGGCTACATAATGAGTTTAAGACTACCAAAAAAACACACACCAATAGGGGGGGCTGGGGATTTAAAAAAAAAAAAAAAAAAACACACACACCAATTAACACAACTGAAGACCTACATGCACCTGGGCTACGGGTCTGCAAAGACAAGCCGCCATGACATCCTGATTCCCCCTAGCAATCAATACATGGAGATTGGTATCAAGGGTTGAAGAACATGGTCACAAAGGGCCTCCATCCTACTCACAGCAACGGAGATTAAATCCAGGACCTTCTCACTGAACCACATCCCCAGTTCACCCCTGGCTTTTTTTTTTTTTTTTTTTTTTTTTTTTTGTCTTTTTCCTTTTTATCGGTACCGGGGATCGAACTCACGACTGCCTGCTTGCAAGGCAGGAGCTAATGCCGCTGAGCTAAATCCCCAGCCCCCTACCCCTGGCTTTTTAACACTTTTTTCATTATGAGACAGGGTCTTGCTAAGGTGCTCAGACTGCTTCAAACTTGTGATCCTCCCGCCTCAGCCTCCCAGAGTGCTGGGATTACAGATACATGCCAACATTTCCTAGACTTTTCGCCAGGCTTCTACAGACATGATCTGGCTAAGACAAAGGCAACTGGAATTTCTTGCAGGTCAATGATCTGTAATAGTTAAGGATTCTACATGATTCTCTTGGATCCCAAAACTTGGCCTTTTGAGTCTTATTCTTAATCCCCAAAAATGTAAACCTGAATCTATTTAAGACTTCAGAGCAACTTGTAGTTTATAGGAAACATGGGCAACAGAGAAATAACACAAACGATGCCACCAGAAGGCAGGCAGATCTATTCAAGATGTGGAACATTCTGCAGAACAACTGAACTGAGCTCTTCAACAACTGTTTTCTACCCTATCTTTTTTTCTTTTTATTTATTGTTTTCTACCCTATCTGATGGGTGCACTTGCTGGCTCCCAATCAGTCTCGGGTGCAGTTTGTAAAGTCAGAGAGGGTGGAGGAGGGGTAGGACAAGAGTCACAGCACACTCACCAAGAGGTCTGTGGTTCTGAGAAAACTAGGCAGGCCAAAGAGGGACATGGGCGCCCCAATTTGGGCTCCAGCTCTGTCCTGCAGTTTGAGTATCTATCTCCCCTTTCTGGGGTGTCAGGTTCACCTCATGAAGTGACCCCATTCTTCAGTGTGGCACATGTTCCTCTGGCTCCTGTCTCCTTGCTAACACTTCTGTGGTAGCCACTGCACCCTGCACTGATCGGTGCCTTCCCAGGCAAGTACTTTGCTCCCTCTCAAAAGTACCCTGCGGCAAGCAGCTCAGCAGATGAATATGCAGCTCGGAGAGGTAAAGTGACTTCACGGCCACATCCAGGTGACCTGAGATGCCAGGACACGGACACAGCCGCCTAGATCCCACCGCTGGTGTTCTGAGCTCCTCATGGCCTGATTAGAAGCACCTCAACCACCACCTCACAGGGAAACTCACACTGACAACCACAAGGTGCGTCCCTATTGGCTGCCTTGGTCCGCGCAATGCTTACCTGCCCTGTACGACTGTAACAGCTGAGTTCTGCCTTTGGCCCAACACCTCTCCCAAAGCACCTGCTGTGTTTCTAGCAGCATTTCCTCTCATCTACTTCCTCTGTCTCAGCAACCGGCCCAAGGCCAAATTCCTAACTCAAAAATCCAATTCTCCCTGCAGCAGCTCCCAGCCCAACACCCTCATTCTGCCTCCATTCTTCCCAGGCTGTTTGACCTTGGGCGAATGACCTTACCCCTGTGAGCTTCAGGCCCCTTTCCTGGTAGGTTCCACCGTAACAGCATCTAACTTAGGGCTGTTGTGAAAATCAGCTGAGATGACGTGAGGAGACTTCCCCTTATAGTAAACCCTAGCATGCTGCCTGGCCCACAGTAGGTACTGAATAAACTTTTGTTCCTTTCCACAGTTTGGCTCATCTCTTCCTCCTGCCTCCCTTCCTTCCACCTGTCCACTACCCACCCACTTGTCCGTACTGTCCCCTCTGGCTGGCTGGCTGGATATTGCCTCTCCTGCACCAGCCTATGCTCCCTACATTGCTGATGGTATGACATCATCATCGGGGTCCTCCCCGCCCCAATCCAGACTCACCCCCTGCGAGTGCAGATACTCCACAGTCTTGCCGATGGTGTGCAGGACGAAGCTGGCCTCCCGCTCCGAGAAGAACTTCTGCCGTAGGATCTTGTCCAGCAGCTCCCCACCCCGCATCAGCTCTGTTACCAGGTACACGTGCTTGCCGTCATCATACACCTGCCCAAGGACTGCCATCAGGGCCATCTCCCCATCACCATGAGGCTTAGGCACCCACTGTGCTCTGTGCCCCAGTGACGCTGGTGGATCTTCGCCCATCTGGGCTCCTCTCCTCCTGGACAAGGGGGTGCTGAACTGGTCCCCAAGGAGCAGACAGACTCTCAGAAAATACTTGAGCCTACAGTGGGGGCCCTTGGAGTGTGGCTAAACCAGAGGTACACAAACCTCAGGGGTAGTGCGCCAGCCCCTATGCTATTCTCAAAAACCCCTACTCACATCTTTTAATGTGATGATGTTGGGGTGCTGCCCGTACCGCAGAAGAATTTCTATTTCTTCTGAGGGATCCCTCTTGCTCTTATCGATGACCTAGAGAAGGCAGATGTATTCAGTAGTGTTTGGGACAGACTCTCACATCCCTTCCCGCCATGGCACCCACCCCTCAGGGTCTGGGGTCTGTTCTCCTGTTCACAGAGCCTCAAGCCCTCACCCTCCAGGCAAAGGCCACAGGTCACTTGGCCCCACCCCCAGCCCTCGGCCTGGGCCAAGACACTGTCAGGAGGCCCACCTTGACAGCATATTCCATGTTGGTGGCCTTGTGGACACAGCGCTTGCACACAGAGTAGGAGCCCACACCGATCGTCTCCTTTACCACGTAGCCGTCACTAAAAACTAGGTTCTTCCCATGGAGTTGCTGCAGGAGACCAAGAAGTGGGGCTGACTGCTGGCTCCAGAGTGCCAGAGGTGCCCAGCACCAGAGCCTTGACTCAGTGGATGTGGTACAGCTGAAGAGCCAGGAGGCCTGGGTTAGTGCTGGCTGCGTGACTTCAGGCAAGAACTCCTCCTCTCTGGGCCTCAGTTTTCTTCCCTTTCTGATGGGTACGCTTGCTGACTCCCAGGCAGTCTGGGTTGCGGTTTGTATAGGCAGAAGGTGGTGCAGGGGGAAGGGCAAGAGTCACAACACACCCACCAAGAGGTCTGTGGTTCTGAGAAGCCTAGGCAGGCCCAAGAGGGACACAGGAGCTCCAATTTGGGCTCCAGCTCTGCCCTTCTGAAGGTTGGGGTGAGCTATCTCCCTTTTCTGGGGTGTCAGATTCACTTCATTAAGTATCTCAAGGTTCTGTGACATTTGCAATGGTAAATGTTCATATGGTACCCGGTGTGGGCTGTGCACCAAGCACTATCTAAGCACTTGCATCAGGCGGCCATGCGTCCAGCAGATGGCCTTAGTTTGCACCTGCTGTCTTTCTCACAAGGCACCAGAGGAAGGTTCTACCAATACCCCATTTATAGAGAGGGACACAGCAGCACCAGGAAGTAAAGTGTCTCATCCAAAGTCCCTCCACCTTGAAGATCTGTACCAAGCAATGAGCTCCCAGTTCTACACTGTTTTTTGTTTTTTTTTGAGACAGGGTCTCACTATGAGGCCCAGGCTGGCCTTGAACTCATGGGGTGATCCTCCTGCTTCAGCCTCACAAGTGCTGGGATTACAGGGCTACACCACCACGCCCAGCTACATTTTCCCTCTCAACTTTTTTACATATCAGTTTAGTACACAAGTGAAGGACAAACAAGACCCCTGCTATCCACTCCTGTCAGGGACTTGACAGACATTTGACCACTTGCTGGGTACCCCTGGCACTTACCCACCTCTGGGCCCAAAAATTTATAAGCATGTTGTCATCCAATTATTAGGGTCACTGTTTCACAAATGGGAAAAAGAGGATCAAGGAGCTGGCAGGGCCTTGGCATCAGGCTTTGAGCCAGGCCTGTCCAGATCTGCAGCCTATGCTCAGCCATTCTGCCCCAGATCTCCTATGTGGAAAGGGCCAACCGAGCAATGGCCATTCCTCCCTTACCTGTACCACCGAGTGCAGGGGTGCCTGTGTGGCCCGAGGCTTGCTGTCGTCTTCCATCAGGCCAGTGGCCACGAAGCTGAAGCCACGGAACAACTGATGGGCGCCAGCGCTGGGTGGCACACCTGGGGAATCTGTAGGGGTAGAGCAGGACGTGAGCCCAAAGAAGCCTTGCAAAGGCTCCAGGGAGCCTGGCCTGCATCAGTTGCTGGCAGTGGTGGAGTCTTGGGCATGGGAGACTCCTACATCAACCTCCAGTCCAGGCCATGCTCAGGCCAAGGGTCTTGGATGCCCTCACCCCTGGTCCAGCTGCTATACAAGAGCCAGTAGGACAGTTCCAACTGCAAACCTGCTGCTCTGCCACCTCGACTCTGCCTTCAGCAGATAATCCACCTCCTCAGTCAACGCAACCCTGAGGTCCCATGGGCCTAGTCTCCTCTCTCCCAGATCCTGCAGCACAGCTACGCTCCATTTCCTAGATCCTTAAAGGGGTGCCTGAGCCATTACACACACTGCTCCCTGCCAGACAATCCACTCCCTGTCTACCCTTCCAGGCTCAGCTCACGTGATGTGTCCTCTGAGAAACCCTACCTGACACTGTCCTCTGCCCCTTACACACTATGAACCCCTTTTCCAATGCTGGCCTGAGCTAGATGATGGCAGGGCCTGGGTCTGTCTCATTTACCAGACATGGAATGCAGTAGGGACCTTGATGAATAAATGGATAAAGATGAGACTGGGGCTGAGGATTTAGCTCAGTGGCATAAGCACCTGCTTGATAAGCTCAAGGTCGCAAGTTTGATTTCCAGTGCCAAAAAAAAAAAAAAAACAAAAAACCAGATGAGACTTGGGGTAGTGCTAAGGTACCCATTATCAGTAATATGCAAGGTACAGTGAGAAAAGCAACCCCTAATGCAAAATACATTCGTCTAAAAAAAAAAAAAATTTACCATGACTTACTAAAAAAAAAAAAAAAAATTTACCATGACTTACCAAGAAAAAAAAAAAAAATACATTCGTCTAAGAGGGGTTTTGAAATTAACATCACACCCGCAACCTACTGCCAATATCTGGCTAGGAGTTATGGTTTCTCCAGCCAACTCCCAAAGTACCCACTGACTTCCTGTGGTACCCCTGAGAGTGAACAGGCTGTGCCCACGTCCCAGCATATAGAGGACCAACAGTCAGAAGACCCGAAGCTGATTCCCACACTTGTCCCTGACCTATGGGTGCTGCCACCTCTGCTTGTCAGATTGTTTCCATCACGGCTTTGCCGGGTGAGATTCCTTATCCCTGACGTGCGTGCAGGACCCGTGTATTTAGTCTTCTCAGTGGGCCTGACAATGCCCGGGGCAGTGGTCTTACCTTCCTATTGTGGCTCTGACTACCCACACACCTCTCTGTCTCGGCCAGATACAAAGAGTTCCACAGAGCCCAGGGTGGGAGAGTCAGGTGGCATGAGACAGGGACAAGGTCAGAGTCCCACGGAGCCAGACACCGCCTGTCTACCCACACACCCAGCCCTGGCAGACTCCCTGACCGCCGGTGCCCCAAGGTGCTCTTGCTCTCTGTTTCCCTCATGTACCAGCCACAGGCAGACAAACCAGACCAAGGACATACCCTTGGGTGTGCGGGATGTGAACTCAGTGTCAAAGTAGAAGGTGTCATCAGGCTGAGCCACCGCTGGCTTGAAGGGTGGCTTGATTTCACGTCGGTACAGCTTCTGCAAGGGTGGGGGTTCTCTGGTTACCACTGTGTCCCTACAACTCACCAGCAGCCTCGTGCCGGAAGATCGTAAATGACTCTGCCTAGCACACAGCAGTGTAACTGCTTGCTCCCAAGAGGTCAGCCTGGAAGGTCAGCCTTTACCCTAGGGCACAACGTCACCCGCCGCTCCTACCAGTCTCCTCCCGCCAACCACCCTGTGGCCAACAGGGTCAAAGCTCCAACGGGGATGGACACTCACGTTCCAGTCAATGGTGGAGTAGAAGATGTGCCTCTTGATCTCCTCTCCTGCATCAGGACCAGAGCCTGAAAGATCCCAAATGAAGTGTTTGCCCTTGGATGGTCCAACTGCAGACACCCACCAGTCTACCAAGTGGCTGCACAGTACCCTGGTACTGGCTGTGGTGCAGGGGCAGGGAATGCTCTCACTCTACCTAGTCACTACCCTGAGGCCAGCACCCACTTGGTATTTTTCATTCTCTGCAATCTCTAATGAGCAAGCTTCAGTACACTGATGGAAGAAGGAAGGTCCAGAGAAGTTAGGCAACTTGTTTAAGGCTCCACTGTCAGGACAAACGCTGGGCTTGTTCTGAGATCGAGGGCCTTCATGCCTTCCCAACGAAGGCCCCCTCTCTGCTCCTCTTATCCTATGGACCCTCTGGACCATGAGATAAACTTTCATGCTATTCAACCCCCAGGACTTGGACTGACACTTACGAAGCTGGTCATGGTCCAGGGGAACCCAGAAGCCAAGGAAGCCACCATCTCCTGAACACCAAATTCATGCCAGGCCTATTCTCAGAACCTTGCTTAATCAACAGAGCCCATAAGCTTGCTTGCACTCACTGACTTCATTGAGACGAGGAACATGGTGCACAGAGAGGTGAAGTCACCTGCCAGGTCATACAGTGGCACATATTTGTTCAACAAATATTTATGGAGGAAGCTCCATGTGCCGGGCAACAGGGACTGACATGCCTGGAACCTGAGCCTTCTCCTGGGTCATAGCCTTGGCGGAGAAGCTGCGTGGGGGCCTCTGTCCTGGTCCCCAGAGGGAATGGGGATGACTCAGTTCCTGCCTTCCCCTACACACAGGTCATCCACCCTCCCAGCACCACACATGGAGCCAGAAAACAGGGTGGCCGGAGGCATTGTCTGCCCACACAAAGGACAAGGGCCCCTTTCAGCCCCAGATGTGGCCCTGTGGCCTAGGCTGCAGCTGTACCCCGCTCCTCACTGCCACATTCCCTCCCCTCAGCCAGGGCTGCTTACCGAGCCGGTTGGCAGGATTCCGCTTGAACAGGGCCCGCAGGAGGCTCTGGGCTTCCGAGCTCAGAAACTGGGGCATGCCTAGCTTTGCCCTGAAATAGCCCCGAGGTCTCATTAGGCAGGAGCCCCACTCCACAGCCCAGCTCCCTCCTCTTCTGTCCAGGCCTCTTCCCAGCTCAGTCCAGACAAGCCAGCCACTAACTCACCTCCCAAAGACTTCAGGGATCCCTCCCACAGGCCCTGGTGAGTGGAAAGGGGACTGTAGAAAGCATAATGTTTAACCCAGAGGAGTGTCTCATTCATGAGGGCAATGCAGGCAGGGATAGGGTGACACTCTAGCCCCTAAACTGGGGTGGGGCTTTGGCACTCCCACAGTACCATGGCAGGGCTGATGCTTACTTCAAAATCAGGTTCATGGTTTCTTTCCGGTCCTTCCCCTGGAAGGGTAGGGAGCCCGTCAGCATCTCAAACTGAAAGAACAAGGGTCTGGTCAGGCTTCATCTCTGTCTCCCATGTCCACTTCCTCTGCCCACCCAGGCCAAGCCACCTGCTCTACTCCCAGGATTTCTGCCAGCCTGATCAATCTCTAAGGAGCAGCACTAGGGGCCCAGAGCCGGGTTAAGGTTGGCCCAGGTGGGGTCAAGTCTGAGATCTTCCCAAGGAAGGAAATTTCAGAGGCACGCAGGGCAAGGCCAGCTTGGCTGTGAGGGGATTGGCAGGGCTGGGGATCTTGGAGATTCTGATCCCCAAATGACAGATGGGAAAGCTGAGGATGGAAATTTGGGCTGGATACTTTGCCTCTGTCAGGGTACTCACCATCAATACCCCATAGGACCACCAGTCTGCACTGTGAGTGTGACCCTGGCGGTTGACAACCTCTGGGGCCATGTATTCCACTGTCCCACAAAAGGAGTAGGCCTTCTTCTCATGGTCAATCGCTTCCTTGCTCAGGCCAAAGTCTGCAGCAAGGAGAGCAGAAGACATATCTTCAGGACTCCTGCCTTCCTTCCTGCCACTATTTACACTCATTTCCTCTGCCCAGGGACCTGATGGCCTCACTCCTATGAGGTTTAGGAGGACACTAGAGCCTAGAGAGGTCAGACAGCTAGCCCAAGGCCACAGGGCGAGGCACTGGGATTCCGCCCAGAGTGCTACAAGTCTAGGTCCTGGGGTTTGATCTCTTCTAAGTGATTGGTTCAGACTCTCAGGAAAAACGGACCCCAGCACTCAGCTGAGCCCTATCAAGAGCCATCTTTGTCCCTCCACAGGCCCAAGAGGGTGAGTGCCCTCCACTCACCGGTCAGTTTGATGTGGCCCTCCTCATCCAGAAGGATGCTGGAACACAGAAACGCAGTCAGGACCCCTCAGCAGCAGGCACTGGGTGGGTTCTGGTGGGACAACTGGATGGTGGGACTTGGGCCTGCCCAGAGGAGCTGTCCTGCCCAGATCAATCTGATGAACAGATGCTAGAGCCAGGCTGGGCAGCACCAGGCAGGTGTGTTGTTAATCTTTGCAACAACTGTGTGAGACAGGTTCTTTATGTCTTCCTTTTACTAATAGGGAGGCTAAGGCTCAGGAAAGTTAAGTAATTCCCCACAGTCATAGAACTAATAAGTAATGGAGACAGGTATTTGGTGTGGCTTTTATTTATTTATTTTGTCTTTTTGAGATAGGGCTTTACTATGCAGTTCAGGCTGGCTTTGAACTCATTTATGTAGTCCATGCTGGCCTTGAACTTGTAGGGATCCTCTTGCCTCAGCCTCCTGGGTGCTGAGATTACATACACAGGCCACCATGCTTAGCAAAGTGCCTAATTTTGTTTTTTATTATTTATTTATCCCTGAATTAGGGTCTCACTATGCTGGTCAGAATGACTTTTTTTGGTCTTTGTTTTTCTTATTTTTTATTTTTAATCGGTACCAGGGATCGAACTCACAACTGTCTGTTTGCAAGGTAGGCGCTTATGCCGCTGAGCTAAATCCCCAGCCCTGGTCTTTGTCTTGAGACAGGGTCTCACTATGCAGTTTAGGCTGGCCTTGAGCTCACTTATATTGCCCAGTCTACATAAGTAAAGATCCTCCTGCCTCAGCCTTTTGAGTGC